TCCCACAGTGAAGTCCATTGCACCCAGCTTCAGAAAGAAGGCATTTGATTTCCATATCCTAGCTCAAAGGCCAGGTGAGAGTAAGCTCGCAGAGAGTATGAGTCGGCACTACTACAAATAGCAAGTTGTGCATTTGTGTCCAAAAGCACAAACAACAATGGTTGGAATCTACCACGAGCATGTGGGGGACGAAGGGTAGGTAAGATAGTGAAGGGACCTGTATGACAATCATAGCTGGGAATGATCACACTGGACAAGAACTGAGTATTGAAAGTAGGAAGCGGTATACATAATAACCTTTGAGAGAGAGAGAGAGAGAGAGAGAGAGAGAGAGAGAGAGAGAAGTGCTCGCCATAGAGGCAGGCTGCGCAGGGGGTGATGGGAGGGAAACTGGGGACACTGGTACTAGGAAATGCACACTGGTGGGAGGATGGGTGTTGGAACACTGTATGACTGAAACCTAATTATGCACAGCTTTGTAAGGGTCTATCTCACAGCGACTCAATTTTTAAAAATCTATTTAAAAAATAAACAATTTAAAAAACTAGAAGAGAAGCTAAGTTTCTGGAAATCAGAATAAAATATGGCTGATGCTTCCCTGGTTGTACGCAATACTCAGTGGGACCAAATGAAGTGAGGCAGCCAACTGGGTCCCAGTCTTCTTTGTCCCTTCTTGTCTTTTAAGGGCTTCTGAACAGGTCTTGATGGAAAGACACAGCTTCCAAAACAAGCATGAACAAGACTACTTTATTCCATTTGGAGAACTGAACAGCAGTGGTGCCGAGGAAAGGAACTCACACCCAGAAATCACGTTTCCGCTTCCTCTTGCCTGGGGACACAAAGGGACAGGCTTCAGCACCGTCCTATTGTTCATCTGGGTGGAGTCTTCTAAGACACTCATGTGAATCATTTGTCCTAGAAGAAAATGTATAATTTTTTCACCACAGGGTGTGGCCCTTTAAAATAACTCATTTTTTGTTTTGTTCTGTAGTGTCCTTTTTCATCTTCCTAAACTTTTTAAATTGAGACTCTGTGATTTACAGTACTATTAATGATGGTTTTCCGCACACATAATTGCAAAACCAATCCCCTTCCCAATGTCCCCACCTCTCTTCCCCAGGGACCTCAATACCCCTCTCTTACAACCCCCCCACCAACAACAATTCAGTTGTATGGATCAGTTCTCTAGTTATTAAACATGTGTTTTAAAGCTGAATTTTATTCCCTTATCTTTTTACAGATATACAGAATTTCAAAATAAAGTAGTTTAAATATCTTCAGCATAAATGATCACAAATACCATACATTTTATTTATAAATTCACTCACTAACTGAGATGCTACTATCTGAGGTTTCCATAGGAAATAAAAATCCAGTTATTCTTGTTAGGAATCACTTAGAATCTTATTTCTAAGAAAGAAAGAAAATTTAAACCAAATAAACAACAAAATTTTGGAGAGCTTCTTATAGAAGAATGCTTTCAGAACAAAAAACTTTCTACCAAAACTCTGTCATTTCTTTTCTACTTCTTGCTAAATAGTCAAATTGCATAGGTTGTCAAACCAATCTAGACCTGATTTTAATCTTGAGAAGCCTCAGGAAGTCTGATACCAGGAATCAAAAGAACCGTATATAAAAACTGCATTATAAAACATAAGATTCTTCCCATGAAAGTGACACATCATTGGAAGAGCTTCATGTCAGATTTCTTCTAAGATACATCTATTGGTTTCCAAATTGGGTGTCTGTTGGCCTTGGCATTTATCGGTCTCATTCATCCATTGGGCAGCTACCCAATGCCCACTGGGTGTCACAGGCACTAGGGGCTGGAGAAGCACGGGGGTAGGGGGTAGGGCGGTTAAGGTACTTGCCTTGTGTCCTTCAACCCCAGTTTCAACCCTCTGGCACCACATAGAATCCCCTAAGCATGGCCTGGTGGCACTCCTGAGCAGTCAGGAATAGCTCCTGAGCACCTCCCCCCTGGAGGTGGCCCCAAAACCCCTGGCCCCTCAGAAAAAACTAAGTGATAGAAAATTTGACATATATATATATATATATATATATATATAGAGAGAGAGAGAGAGAGAGAGAGAGAGAGAGAGAGAGAGAGAGTTACTATGTGCCAGGTGCTGTTTTAAAAACCGGGGCTACATTGGAGAGCAGCCTCTGCAAATCCTATATTCCAGTCAAGGCAGGAAATGAAGATTTGTAAAAATTTGAAAGAATGATTAAAGTTAAACAACAACAACAACAAAAAAAAAAAACTGCCAGAGCAGAGCTGGCTGCCCCCATGAAGAGTGTTCGTACCCTTTGTTCCACCGCAGCATGGAGGGTGCTGCCCCCTGCAGGTGCCATAGGCCTCTGCACCAGCCTGGGCCTGGCGGGTTCATTCAATTACCCAGTCACTGAGGGAGAGGAGGAAGAAGTCAACACACCCCAATCTCCTTGGCGGCTTCTTACAAATGAAGGTATGAGTGTGAGAGGACACTCGTCTTGGCCTAGGTCACTTGGCTGACACCAAGGTCCAATTCCCATCTCATATGTTCCTATTTTCTCTTTGCAATGACTACACATTTTGTTCCAAGTCCTATACTCATTGCCACACCAAACACTCAGTCCCTCGTGTGTTGATTTATCTCCCCGTAAGGACCTGATCTTGCTCAGCCTTTATATCGTCAGCACTACCCAGAAAGCTTTTTCGCCCTGCTTCCTGGTCCTTCTGCAATAAGTTTCACCCAAGTTCATGATTGCTGTGGTTTGTTTTCTCAACGTATGTGGTGAATAGGCAAAAGAAACATGCCCAACCACACACCCCAAGTAACGCCAGAGAGGAACAAGGCTCGCCCCACCTGTACTCATTTTGCATCTTAGCTTCTCCTCCAGAAAATGGATCCATCAGCACCGGGATTTTCTTTCTTGCCTTGCAGAATTCTCTTGAGATACATAGACACGGATGTGAATAGCAAAATGCAAACCTGAGATCTTCACTGTTGCTGTTGTTTATGTTGTTATGGTTAGACAACTTGCAAGCCAGTATTTTTGGTTGTTTTTATTCCTGGGGAATAATCAGAGAGCTCCAGGTGAAGCGGGGAGGGGGGGGGGGGGGGAGCTGAGCCTCTCTCAGCTGTAAGAATGGCCATTCCCAGGGGGTGAGCCTCATTCCCCTGTGTTACTTGATGTATGCTGATGGCTTGCTCCATGGAGAATAGACCGTGTTTATATATATATATATAACACTATATATAGTAATTATTACTATATATAACTACTATTAATATATAGTAATTATTACTATATATAGTAATAAAATAATTTTATTACACAATTTTAGTATGACTCTCACCACAAATTCATTGGATTATTAGGGACTGAGCAATGTGCATTTACGGTATTAACCAAAGAAAAGGACCTCACACTGCAAAGACTGCCCCACACCAACCATTTTAATTAATTATTTTAATGAATCACTGTGAGAAACTGTTACAGACTTACAAACTTTCGTGATTACATTTCAGTCATAAAATGTACTGAAATACATTGAGTACTCATCCCTCCACCAGTGCCCATTCTCCACCACCAATGTTCCCAGTATCCCTCCCACCACGCCCCTACCCACCCCCCCACCTCTGTGGCTGGCACATTCCCTTTTACTCTCTCTCTCCTTTTGGATGTTCTGGTCTTCAATATGGGCACTAAGTGGCCATCGTGTCTGGTTTATAGTCTGCTTTCAGCATGCATCTCCCATTCTGAGCGAGCCCTTCAAGCATCATTTACTTGGTGGTCCCTTCTCTATCCCAGCTGCCTTTTCCCCCAGCATGGAGGCCGGCTTCCAAGCCATGGAGCGATCCTCCTGGTCCTTATCTCTATTATCCTTTGCTGTTAGTCTCCCATTATGTTACTTTATATTCCACGGGTCTGCAAAAGCCTCCACAACATTGATGCCGTGTTTCTTTTAAGGATGGAGTTGGAGCTCTTCTCCTCCCTGCCTACCGGGTCCTCTTTTTCACTTTGCCGCTAGGTGGCGATGGTCCACTGAAACATTTGAGTCCAAAGACGCCAAATGCCCAGACTTCTGCAGGCTGCAGAGTCACACCCACACGGGGGCCCTTCAAAGAGTGTGAGTTCCAAGAAGCGGAAAGTCCAGGTCAGACAGACGTTCTAACCTTGGGTTTCTTCATTGTGACTAAGCCAGACACCATCCCCACCAACTACATCCCACCAACATCGTTTGTTGCCGTTCTTCTCTCCTCCCTGGCGTGAGACGGCATCTGTCATTCTGATCTGCGTTTCCCTGATAATAAGCGATGCCTAATGCTTTTTTTTTTCAATTTTTATTACTGAAACACCATGAGGTACAGTTGTAGACTTACAAATTTTTGTGCTTCGGTTTTAATTATACAATGATCAAGTACCCATCCCTCCACCAGTGCCCATTCTCCACCACCACAGACCCCAGTGTCCCTCCCACCCCCCATGCCCCCTATCCCACCCTACCTCTGTGGCAGGGCACTTCCTTATGTTCTCTTTCTCCTTTTGGGTGCTGTGGTTTGCAAAAGAGATGCCTAATGCTTTTTCGTGTGCCTATTATTGGGACGTCTTCTTCATGGACATGTCTGTTCAGCTCCATTCCCCAATTTTTTGACGGGGCTATTACATTTTTGTGGTTGCTGAGATTTTTGAATGTTTTGTCTGTCTTGGATATTAGGCAAATACCTGATGTGTTCTAAGCAATTTTTTTTCACCCATGCAGTAATTTTAGCCAGAGTTTTGTTTTGGGGTTTTGGGCTTGGTTTTCTGTTTTGTTTGTTTGGGTTTGTTTTGTTGGTTTCTTTTGGGGGGTGGGCATGAAAAAATTTTTCACCTATCCCCCAAAACATGAAGACATTAATTTTAAAAGACAGATGCAATTTTAAAAGACCTCTGTTTATGTAATGTTTGGTTGAATGGTCAGGATAGGAAAACAACCCAATGCCCAGTGGATCAAGAAGCTGTGATCCAACCCCAACTGAGAGTCACCAGCAACCTTGCCTGTAGCCGTGGGTTTCCGTGCCCAGACCCAGCGGGGCCTCAGCTCACTGCCCACTCTCCAGAGTGGAATGGGGAAAACAAGGTTCCTGGCACGTCAGAGCTCCCAAGATCTGCCTACATCTCTCGCCTTGGGCCCCTCTCCTACCCACAGGGCCCTGGGGTCCCTAGAATCTTTCTCATTAGGATGTGCCATTTACCCTTGACTGCATTGATTTTTTTTTACAAAGATAATCCACCATACTCAAAATACAATCAAAACATTACCACATGGCCTTTCTTATTCCCGTCAATGCTGGTGAAAATCAGGCACGTTAAACATTATTGTGTTAAAACGAAAGAGGGACAGGGGCTGGGGAGGTGAGTCAACGGGCTGGAGCGCACGTCCTCATGCAGATCCTGGGGCTCAATGGCCCAGAGCTACAGCAGAGACCCCCAGTACTGTGCCAGGAGTAGCCTCGGTATACAGTCAGGTGTGTATCCCCCCGAAAAGAAACTTACTAATAAAGAAATCTTAAAGTTGATTTATTCCAGGGAAAAGTAGACATCAATTATATGCTAATTTGAGGGATTGAAAACGTCTGTCTGGAATGTTGTGTGGACACAAGGAAAACGCCCTCATGTCTGTTTCTGCCAAGGGCAGGGCCTGGGTGCAAGCACTGGGCAGGGCCCCCTTTCCTCATGGAGCCCAGCCCCGCTGGCTCTTCCTGGATCTCCCCATCAGCCTCTTATCTCCCATCACCAGTCCTGACTGGAGACAAGAAAAAACGGTTCACACCTGGAAACACATGGTCTTACATGTGACACAGGTGGCACAAAGGAGATTCAGCGAATCCTGGTCACTGAACCTCTTAGAAGCTTCCCGGGTGTGGAAGTGACAAGGAAGGGCACAGGTGACCTGAATATGGGGGCTCAGTCTGCACTGGCTGCCAGGGCCAGCAGGCAGGGAGACACATGAAAGGCACTGAGGTGAGCAGCGGAAAGAGCGCCAAGGTTGCACCAGAGGCACAACCGGCCTGGCGAGTAAACACCGTTTAGTGTGATGACTGTGGAGAGGCCCAAACCCGACACTTAAGCCTGTCAGCACGCCAGCAGGCCCGCTAACTACTCACTGCACGTGTATATTTTCCTGTTCCAACACATACTTAAGGCAGATGCTGGCTGCGGTGGAGAATCTCTTTCATGGCTATTTACCTGCACTGGGCTGCTCCCATGGGTGACCCTCTACTTACTTGGTCCCATTTGGAGGATTTTAAAAAAAAACCTTCATGGATTTCCCCCCTATAATTCTTCCTATTCTTTCTGGTTTAGAAAAGAAGGGGCATTTGTAGAGCGGTTACTCTAAAAACTACCAAAGAAAGACCGAGAACCTTCCTTTAATCTTAAGCCTAGAAATAGTTTTCAGAACATGTCTAAAAGACCACAGGGGAAATGAAGCACTGGATACAAACCACCCTCTTCAGGCTCTGCTCTGTGGTTGGTGGTGAGAAATTTGGATTTTAGAAGAGTTTCCACATTGAATGGCTGAAAGGTGGCTTACTGCGCCCAGCCTGTGAGCCTGTGGAAAGACAACTTATGTCGAGCCTCGGCTTTCCTTCTGGAAATCTAGAATGTGGGTTCATATGTAACAGGGGTGGGAAAAAAGGAAATTCACCAGCACCCAATAGAGATCCTAGTCACCAAATCCTTCATAAGCGTCCCTGTTTGGCAACAGTTCGTACACGTGGTCCTACCTTACTGCCAGCAGACTCAAGTGTCACTAGTCACCCCACCATGTAAGGATCTATGGACACTTGTTCCTGACTGCCCCAGACTGGGTCCCATGGGCCTTTTCCCTTTTCTCATTTTTCTGTTCACTCTGAGCAAATCATGGATTCCACTGAGGACAAGAAGTCAAGGGAACAAGCCCTCATGCAATTCTGCACTCTGGATATAGAAAAAAAGATGAGTTGAGGCCAGAAAACCCAAAAATTTGAGCTAAGAAAAATGTAAATGGCTTAAACGTTAGGTATAAATTCCACAAACATCCACTAAAATGGTGATCTATATCTTGGACCCCTGGGGAAATGTGATTAACTTCTTGTAGTAGTTGGAGAACTGGTACTTGGTCCTTGAGAAGCATCATTTGGTTTATGAGCTGATCTTGTCTAGAAGAAAAATTCCTGGAGAAGTGAACACAAGTTGGCACAAAATGATCTTCCTTAAAGACAAATCACCTCAAAACATTGGTGGTGGGAATGCTGACTGATGCAGCTTTCTAGGAAACAATATGGACATTCCACAAAAAAAAAAAAAACACTAAGGATTAATCCTTCATGTGATCCAGCAATTTTGACTTCTTGGAATTTACCCCAAGAGCTCACAAACACGATGCAGAAAGACTGTGTTCACTGCAGCACTATTCACAATAGCCAAACTCTGGAAACAGCCCGGGTGCCGGAGAATGGATGAGTGGATAAAGAAACTATGGAACATCAATACAAAGAAACACTACTTGGCTGTAAGAAAAGATGGAATCATGCAGTTTGCTGCTGGGTGGATTGAGCTGGAGAGTATCACGCGGAGTGAAACACGTCAGAGGGAGAGGGACAGACACAGAAGGAGCTCTCTCAGATGCAGGATATAAGCAAACACAGAAAGGGAACCACGAACTCCCAAAGAGTATAGAAACAAAGAAGATGAGAAACAGCCTTCAGCACCTGGAAGCAGAGCCTGGTGTGACACGAGCAAAGGACAAGGAGCAGCAGTAGCAGAGTGGAGAGAAGTGGCCGCTCTGGGGGGAAACGGATGCTGGAAGGGCATAAAGTCTGATGCATGAAACCAAAGCAGTAACAGTGTTGGAAACCACAGTGCCAAAGAACATGGGCAGGCAGGGCTGGGAGGGAAGCCAGGGCTGCCGGCAGCAGGGAGGGGACGCCAGTTACGGGCCTGCAGTGGAGCAGTGTGTGCCAGAAACTCAATCATGAATAACTTGGTAAATCATGGTCCCTCAATTAAAACAATTTTTTAACTAAAAATCTAGGGTTCCTCTTTATTTTTTTTCATTTTAGGACTCTACATGCTTTTTAAAAATATCTTTATTGTTTATTCCTTTTTGCATTGCCAAAGATAAAATAATGGACCTTGCATATATTGTCACTGTCACTGTCACTGTTCTCCCATTGTTCATGGATTTGCTCAAGCGAGCCCAGTAACATTGTAAGACTGGCTGTTACTGTGTTTAGCATATTGAATAGGTTACAGGTAGCTTGCCAGGCTTTGCCATGCGGGCGAGATACTCTTGATAGCTTGCCGGGCTCTCCGAGAGGGGCTGAGGAATCGAAGGCGGAGGAATCAAACTCTGGTCAGCCACGTCGGCCGCGTGCAAGGCAAATCCTCTACCCGCTGTGCTATCGCTCCAGCCCCTTGCATATATTATGCTATGAATAATTTAAAGATCCTTAACTGTAACAGTTCACTTAGGACATTCCAAGTGTTTTAGAAGTTATGTGCCAGTAATGGAGTCCTAACGTATTTTTAGGTAAAGTGGTAGTTCACTGCTTTTTAAAGCATGTAGCTCTACCACTGAGCTACATCTCTCCTCTCCTGCCTGCCTTTTCAAAGACAGGTAGAAAACCTTAAACTTAAAAAGCATCTGAGACTAGGAATCTCCCATCCTACTAGGAATCTTCTTTAAAACAATCAAATCTGTTTATGTTTTAAAGTTTTCAGTATCTTAATTTATTATGATTAGATCTGATGCAGTGTTTGCTTGCGAGAGTACATCAGCTTCTATTTGGGATCCAACTGGACCCCGCAGCACCTATGACCTCAGTGCCCCTCCCCTCCCTTAGACTCGGAGCTTCTCAATCTCCCCTCCAGAAGACCCTCAGGAAAGCATTCATTTTAAAAAAGTGTTTCCAGTTTCTCCAACCAAGTGCTGGGGGTCACGCACTTAGCTGACTCACAACTGGTTGTGCTGTTGGTAGGGGCCAGGCACCCAATGGATGCATTAGCGACAGCTGTGGTGTTTGCTGGGGGGTTGCTGAGCGCTCACGCATGCGTGTCAGAGGCTGCACGTCTGGCCACATGCTTTCCTGTTAGCTGCTAGCTTGTGTCACTCTCTCTGTGGTACACACACACACACACACACACACACACACACACACACACCTGGCTGTGCATTGCCAGGAACATCCTGAAGCAAGTGGCACGCTGGGGTTCAAACTCATGACCATAAACTTGCAAGGCAGCACTTCTATGCCCCTTCACTAACCCTCGGGGTCAGAAAATAATTTTTTTTTTTTTTTGCTTTTTGGGTCACACCCGTCGACACACAGGGATTACTCCTGGTCCTGCACTCAGGAATTACTCCTGGAGGTGCTGAGGGAAACCATATGGGATGCTGGAAATCGAACCCAGGTCGGCTGCATGCAAGGCAAACGCCCTATCTGCTGTACTCTCTCTCCAGCCCCAAGGAAATAATTCTTGGGAAAGGAGTAGTTTCAGTATTTTAGAAACCAGTGTTACAAATGTTTTATAAATACCTGCTTTTGCTAAAAAATATATTTTATTGTATCTCTGGTTAACAAAAATATTCAGATAAAATCCAGGACATATATATTTCTATGATTTTTCAAAATCTTGGTCTGAAATAAAGTCTATTTTATATAACCTTCTCCTAATTATGAAAAACACAAACACACCAAGAAAAAAAGTCAATAGTCATGTATAGCCTCCCATGCCCCCAATAATAAAGAAAAAAATAACTGTATGTTATAAGTTCAATAGGGATGTATCTAAAATCTAACATTTATTGGAAGACCTAGAGGTGAGAGAGACAGCAAATTAGACATAATAACCATGCCTTCATGTTAAAACATACCTTTCCAGTAATGATCCAAAGGCCTCAGGGGTAACATGGCAGAAATGAAGTCAAGAGAAGTGAAGAAAGGCACTCAGCACATTCATTCACATTTGTGCTTGGCTAATATGAGGGTAGGCCCCGTGCACCCTTTAGTTAGATGCACCTGCGGCTGTCAGCAGAAGTGCAGCTTAACAGCGCTGGGAATTGATTTTCCAGTTTGATACACACGTCTTTATAAGGAATGAAGAACTG